GGTGCTGGTGTCGGCGGCGACAGGCGACTACATAATCCCGGCGGCGTTCCCCGGCCAGTGGCTCAACCGCATGGCGGCTGAGGCCGAGCTCGACCGCCCCAGCTCCTTTTCTCTTCAGCATTTGCACTCGGGTGTCGGAGTGCGCAAGCGAACGTCCGAGAAATTCGACGAGGCTATGTCGTATTCTTTGCCGGAACCGCAACAGCAACAGCCCTTGACGCCATCAGGATGGTCAACTAATTTGGACGAACTCGACGATGAACCGAAGGTACGCGGGAAACTCCATGAGCACGGCTGCCCAATGATATGGCCCACGGGCCGGATCCAGTCCCTGATGGAGAATTTTTGCCTGATGGCCCACGACCCGTCACCCGACCAGCCATCACCCACCCTTTTTTTTTTTAAAGCGTTACAGACTAATCCAACTCCTAAATAAAAGTTCGTATCAACTCTGGCCAGATTCGTATCAACTCTTCAATAATGGAATTAAAAATGTTTCAATCAGAAAATTAGTCAGGATATGCATCTAAAGATAAATAAAATAAAATATATGTATACCAGTACTGTGTGAGAAAATTAACAGAGCCACAATAAGATTAAGACCTAAATAAACCACATTATTTTCAATAACAAAATTCGTGGTGTAAAGGCTGCCAACAACACGTGAGACGGAATCTTTTGAGCCACTTCAATAGCTCGTATGAAGTTCTATCTTTGGTATTAACGGCGACAGGCGACTACATAATCCCGGCGGCGTTCCCCGGCCAGTGGCTCAACCGCATGGCGGCTGAGGCCGAGCTCGACCGCCCCAGCTCCTTTTCTCTTCAGCATTTGCACTCGGGTGTCGGAGTACGCAAGCGAACGTCCGAGAAATTCGACGAGGCTATGTCGTATTCTTTGCCGGAACCGCAACAGCAACAGCCCTTGACGCCATCAGGATGGTCAACTAATATGGACGAACTCGACGATGAACCGAAGGTACGCGGGAAACTCCAGCTGCCAAATGATATGGCCCACGGGCAGGATCCAGTCCCTGATGGAGAATTTTTGCCTGATGGCCCGTGACCCGTCACCCGACCAGCCATCACCCACCCTTTTTTTTTTTTTAAAGCGTTACAGACTAATCCAACTCCTAAATAAAAGTTCGTATCAACTCTGGCCAGATTCGTATCAACTCTTCAATAATGGAATTCAAATGTTTCAATCAGAAAATTAGTCAGGATATGCATCTACAGAAAAAAATAAATAAATATATATATATATATATACTGTACCAGTACTGTGTGAGAAAATGAACAGAGCCACAATAAGGAATTCTGGATTTATTTGGTGTAATAAAAGTTATTGTTTTAAGCACCACATTTCCGACGGTTGTTGTGCACTCTGCCTTAGAAAACTCGGTGAAGTTATCGAGCATACTTCAAGATAGAAACCATAATCCTCCATTTTTTCTCATTTGCAAATAATTCGGATCAGCGGACATCCGCTTCATGAATATCTGTCACCCATAAAAACGCTAATTGAACCGTAAATGCAGGGGATAATTGGTAAAAATTGCTTTTGTGCATCCAAAAAATCTCCAGAAGAAGAAAAAATGAAAGAACTTATGAATTAACCCTGGTCTCCACCCATTGCTGATGCTTCATACCAGGATATGATCATATACTGTCTCTTTCCTGGCATCTAACACTACGGCTTCGCTTGTCGTGATAAGTACCTGTTTGAGTACCAACGTAACGTGTTACGGTAGTTGCCCTTGAGTTACGGGTTTCGTCGGCTGTACCTCGAGCAATGGTCTGTCTTCTTCGCGCCAGGAATCCAGCAACAGGCAAGCAACCAATCCCAGGATTCTCAATAAGTAGTACAGTACCAAAATCACCGGAGTCAAATGAGCATGAGGGATAATTGCTAGTCGGAAATCTGAGCAGAACTGAAAACTTAACCACAGAAACCAGACTTTGGAATCATTCCTTCAAAAACTTCATGCCTGACGTGGCACATTATCCATCCTTCATCACTGCATTATGGATTAAATTAAGTCAAACAATGCAGTTGAACCTCTCTATGTCCAATATTGTACTTCCCTGTGTCAATTTTGTTTAAGTCCCTGCCTGCATTTCCAACAGTGCATTAAAATCCTCCCTACCTGGAATTTTCTGGAGGCCTTTTGAATATTTTTTGATTGACACAGGGAAGAGAAAGGCAATAAAAATGTAACTCTATGTGCTTTGAAAGGAAGTTAAAGACTAGTTGAACAAATGAACCCTTGCCTCCAACATCAGCATTCTGTAAACTCATCCAAAACAAAATTTAAGGCATAGACTGGTACCTATTAAAATCATTGTTATTCCTTTTTATTTCCCCCCCCCCCAACACAAATGTAATGCTTGTTTCTCTAACTATAATTTTTTGCTGGTCCCTTGAAGATGGACTTGGAGAGGTTTGAGTAGTGTACAAAAAAGGAATGGAGCAACAAAATGTGATCACCTTCTTATTACAACAAAGTTTATGAGTGGTATAATTTTTCAAGACCCTTTGGTACCTGTCCAATGCTCAGTTTTTCCTGAAGTTCAGATGTTTACTGATCAGAGCTTATGCTTTCAGTTGGGCAATGCACAAGTCAGTCTGATCAAATGCCACAAGTGCCAAAAATGAAGAAATGAAAAAAAATGCAGTATATTTTTACATTACAGACTGGTGCAGCTTGGACCAAGTCCAGGAAGTGTTACTTCAATGCAGTCACATGCTATGGGAAGCGAAAGCGAAGATAGATCAACACCA